CAATGGGAATACACAAGCAGACATGCCCTCTGACTGGTGAGTGACTATGTTGGTCACTGATAAGGGAAAAACAGCAATGAAGCAGCAAGCTAAGCCCTACCACATTCAATAGACTCCTGTGAACCCCGGGCAGAGACCTGGTTGGCCAGCAGTGTGGCAAGACCTGGGGACTCCTGGGCCCAGAGTCAGTGACATAGCCACTGGACTGGAGTGGAGAGTAAAGCATCCAGTGGATAAGAAGTGAGGGCACATGCACAAGAACACCCACATTAGCAGATAATACTCACTTGACCTATCTTCAATGACTGGATGATCAGAGCTCAACTAGAAGAAGAAAGAAGAGGAAAAAAAGTGTAACCTGATACAATTTGATTAAATTGACCTACACCTATGGATGTAGTAGCACAAAAGAGGGAACAAATCTTAACAGCAAGGATCATTCCCACCACCTTAATACACAGGGTAGACAGGGATGGGCAACTTGGACAAGAAGTTATTGGCTTACAAGCGTTCAAGGGGAAGCCTAGATCCAGAAGGCATGGAGGAAAGTAGAATCTCCACTGAGTAGTATTCAATCTGTCTGGGTGGGGCTGATGAAAGGAGATGGGGATGGCACTTATGTGGCACAATAGTGAATAATTGCTATCAGGACTGACTGTGAAGGTTGGGAATGTAAAGGTAGACATTATATAGCAAAATGAGCAGAGTGGTTGACTTTGCAGTACAGGAGGAGTTGAGGTCCCTGGGACCATCAAGGGAGAAGAGCTGAATGCGGGACCCTACCTAGAGAAACAGTGATGCCAGAGATGGAGGCAGAGCTGATGATGTGGAGAAAGGGAACGGCTGGGGACTCCTGGCCCAGAGAGGGAGATAGGCTGTGTGCTGATGACCAAGGCGCAGGCTTGCAGGTTGGTTGATGATGCATGGAGGGGATTGTAACTATAGCAGTGAAATGATATATGATAGGATGAATATAAAGCTAATGTTCTCCCATGTAAAGTATCACATAATTCACAATAAACTATTTTATTAAAAAAAAAAAAAAAGCCAATGATACTGAAGGAAGAAGGCGAAGGTGCATTGAAGGAATTGGCAAAGAACAAGGCACCAGGAATCGATGGAATAAAAATTGAAATCTTTCAAGAAAGTGAGGTGGCACAGGAGACACTCATTCATCTATACCAAGAAATTTGAAGACAAGTGTCTGGGTGACTGATTGGAAGAGATCTGCATTTGTGCCTATTCTAAAGAGAGGTTACCCAACGGAATGCAGAAATCATTGGACAATATCTTTTTTATCACATGCGAGTAAAGTGTTACTAAAGGTAATACAGAAACGTCTGCAAGCATACATTGACAGAGAAATTCCAGAGGTTCAAGCCAGATTCAGAAGAGGCCGTGGAATGAGGGATATCATTGCTGGTGTCAGATGATCTTGGCTGAAAGCAGAGAATATTAGAAAGATGCTTACCTGTGCTTTATTGACTATGCAAAGGCTTTTGATTGTGTGGATCATGGCAAGCTATGGACAAGATTAAGAAGTATGAGTATTTCAGAACACTTAATTGTGCTCATGAGGAATCTGTATATGGACCAAGAGGCAGTTGTTTGAACAGAACATGGGAACGTTGAATGTTTTAAAATTAAAAGGTGTGTGACAGGGTTGTAGTCTTTCACCTTACGTATTCAACATGTATGCTGAGCAAATAATCCAAGAAGCTGGGTTCTATGAAGAAAAACATGGCATTAGGATTGGAGGAAGACTCATCAAGAACTTGTGATATGTAGATGAATACAACCTTACTTGCTGAAAGTTAAGAGGACTTAAAATACTTACTGATGAAGATCAAAGAGCACAGCATTCGGTATGGATTGCATCTCAATGTAAAGAAAACAAAAATCCTCACCTCTGGACCAATAAACAGCACTCTTATCAACAGAGAGAAGATTGAAGTTGTCAAGGACTTCATTCTTCTTGGATCAACTATCCACACTCATGGAATCAGCAGTCAAGAAATCAGATGATGTATTGCATTAAGCAAATCTGCTGCACAAGACCGTTTTAAAGTGTTGAAGAGCAAACATGTCAGCTTGGGGACTAAGGTGCACCTGACCCAAGCCATGGTATTTTCAGTAACTTCATATGCATGTGAAAGCTGGATAGTGAATTAGGAAGACCGTAGAAGAAGTGATGCCTTTTATGGTGTTGGAGGAGAATATTGAAAGTGCCATGGGCTGTCAAAAGAACCAACAGATCTGTGTTGGAAGAAGTTCAGTCAGAGTGCTCCCTGGAGGCCAGGATGGCCAAACTTTGTCTCTCATACTTTGGACATATTATAGGAGGGACCAGTCATTGGAGAAGGATATCATCATGTTTGGTAAGGTGGAGGGTCAGAGAAAAAGAGGAAGATTCCCAGCAAGATGCATTGGCAAAGTGGCAGCATCAATGGGCTCAAGCATGGCAACAATTGTGAGGTTGTCCAGGACCAGGCAGTGTTTTGTTCTGTTGTGCATAGGGGTCACTGTGAGTCGGTACTGACTCAAGGGCACGTAGCAACAACAGCAACCATAAGGTCAGCGTTTCAAACTCACCAGCTGTTCCTTAAAAACCCTATACTCATAGGGCCGCTATGAATCCGAACCAACCTGATGGTACTTAACAACAACAATGTTGGTTTAGTACTTAGGGAATGGAACAATTGCTTACAATGATTTGTACTTGTTGTGTGCTATTGTGTTCATTTCAACTCCTATATGCTAATAGGTCTGAGTAGAACTGCCCCATAGAGTTTCCTAGGCTATCATGGGGTCACTGTAGTATAAGCAGTAGACTTGCTAAATGCAAGGTCAGTAGTTCAAACCCACCAGCTCCTCTGGAGAAAGATGAGACTTTTTACTTCCATAAAGACTTACAACTTCAGCAACCTTATGAGAGGTTGATATGAGTCAGAGTCAACAAAATGGCAGTGAGTTTAACGTTTATGGGAGCAATCTCCAGGTCTTTTCCTCCGCAGAGTGGCTGGTGGGTTTGAAGGACCAACGTTTTGGTTAGCAGCTGAGGCTTAACCTTTGCACCATCAGGGCTTCCTGATGTGCAGTTGTTGTTGTGAAATGCTGTCACGTTGGTTCCGACCCATAGCGACCCTGTATAGATAGGGTTTCTGAGGAGCAGCTGGTGAGCTTGAACCGCTTGAGGTTCAAGCTGACCTTGCAGTTCATATAGCACATTAACCTGCAGCGCTATACAAGGACTCCCGGTGTGCAGTTAGAAGAACAGAAACAAGTGTGGAAGCAAAGTCACACTTTTATTTCACCATTAATGGAAGGCAGGAACATATTGCCATTCTTGATAGTACGTGAACTAGAATAACTATCTCATTCCAGACCTTGAACTTTATAACCACTATACTACAGCAAGAACAAACAACTCTTAAACAAAAATATGCTATGTTTGTATGTAAGTTTATTTTCTACAAATTCTAGTCTTTTTCTCCAGAGTTCCAAAGTTCAGTCATGTTTAGAAAACATATTCAGGTACCTCAGTGTCTTCTGATTTTAAATGTTGACATAAATATTGAGGCAACTCAAAGTCTAAACTCTCTCTGAGGGCTCTTTATTGCTCTTCAGGCCCTCCCCTACCTTCCATAGTGCACAGGGAAGCTTCTGTATTCTCGTGACAGGTGGGGACAGAGGAGAGACAAGGTTGGTCAGTGTGCTGTCCTCTGTTCGTGTTCACTCCACTGTGCTGCTGAGTAATCACTGGACATGCTGTCCTGATGTCCACTGAAGTGTGGCTGCTCTGGTATCTTTTAGGACCCATGCCAAGGTATTTGCAAAGATGACAGCTTTATGAAGGTGCAGATCTCCGGGCTCTCCTGGCTCATCACTTCTCTCAGTGTCTTTGTATCTTGAGTACCCATATTCCGTACATGGATTATGAACAACTGGGGGTCCCCTATGTGCTCTGCTCCTACCCTAGCATACCATGAAAGGTGCAACTTCTATTCCTCTCTGGGAAGTGAGGCCCCAACTTCAGGGTTCTCAGGTTCTCTGGGACCTAGCTGGGTATTCCCACCCATGTTTCCTATTTATGGTTTATGTGAAGCTTGGCAATTAGTTATTTGATAATTTCAAACATTTCCTTGCTCCCCCTCACCCGACTGCTACAATATTCGGTAGTCCACAAACATTTACCATAAAAATTGCTTCCTTAAAAGAATTATATATCTTTTTTAGTGTTTGTCCAAAATAATCAACAGTTCTTAGGTAGTATTCAGTTGTCATATTCTAGTAGAGTAGATTGGTTAAGGTCTAGACTCTGGAGGCATTCTGATGAATCCCAGCTCTCTCACTTGCTAGTTGTGTGATTTGGGGGTGTTTGTTAACCTCTCTGTGCCTCAGTCTCCTCATTTGTAAAACTGAGGTTATGTTCTCACTTGATAAGGTTGTGAGGATAAAATGAGTTGATATATTTAAGTGGATAGAATAATGTCTGGCAAAAAGAAGGAGTGTAGTACGTTTTAACTACCCTTGTTATTGTTACCTGTGATCATGTTAGTCTGACACATGACATGTCAATGCACAAAAAAAAGAAAAGTTGCCCAGTCCTGTACCATTCCCCTGAAAGGTTGGGAATCAGACTTGTTGTGATCCATAAGGGTTACACTGGCTGGTATTCAGAAATAGATTGCTAGAACTTTCTTCCTCATTTGTCTTACTCTGGAAACTCCATTGAAACCTGCTGAACATCATAGAAACCCACAGGCATCCAGACAGAAGGTGGTGATTGAGTATGAGATTTATTGTCCAGGAATGGAAACCATGTCTCTTGTATGGTAGGCGAAAATTATGCCACGGAAGTACCACTGCACCCTCCCCCTGAGTATTATCAGCATAATGATAAGAGTTATTGGGAGTAACTATGAGCAGGAAACACACCTTTTGTGTCAGTTACCTGTAGTATAAAGTAGAAACATCTCTCTAGGCCTTAGTGAGTTTACCTGTTTCATTGCTACTACGTTCTTTTATCCCCTCAGCAGAATTTAGGATCTTGGACGCCGAAAGGAGAACGGAGTCAACTTCATTGTCTTCCTCAAGATGCCCTTCTGTAACAGAACCGTGAATTCGCTTTTGATTTTATTGGGAGAAGGGGTGGGGAACCTCGAGGAGGTGGGGATGAAGATTCTGGACATGGACGCCCTAAGTGGCCACAGGAGGGCGCGCTGGGGCCACGCAGCAGAGGTGGCAGCAGGGATGGGAGTGCTGCGTCTTGAAGTAGTAACCGTGTGTGGGGCGGTGTTATTAGGAGGGGTGACAGTGGAAGGGGGTGGAGAATAAGGCCATGAAAAGGATGTGAGGTTAGTTAAGAAGATCCTCAATCCACTTGTGTCTTGAGTAATCGCTGAAATGTAGAGGTCAAGGTGCCCGGGGCGGCTCTGCTCCCCACTACCCCTCCACTCTTACAGCTCCCAGTCTAGGTACAGGCCAGCTCCAGCTCTTACCAGGGCTCATTTCTGGTGCCTAAAATCGCTCTTCCCAACTGCCTTCTCCCACGCATTCCGCTCAGTTGCTCCACGTCCGGGCATCCCGTTGCTTGGTAACGGGGTGGCCAGGGCGCAGCGCCCTCACCCGCCACTCCTTCGCACGTGAGGATTCGAAGGGGGTGGGGAAGTGTAGGAGGAGGGAGTTGTGCTCTGGGATCAGGGTGTGGGTGGGATTAGCTCGGGAGACAGCCTGGGACAATTGAGTGAGAAACAAGGCCTACTTACTGTGAAGGACTAAACTTCTAAAGAGAATCTACTTCGGCATATTTTAGTTCCCTCCCGCCTAACCCTCCAGAATCTCTCTTGCTCTGATTCAGGACAACACCTGTTAGACTAAGTTGTTTAGAGAAAAGGGAATGCTTGAGGACAGGCAAACAACCAGGCAAAAATCCCTTTTGTTTTAAATTCCGTGGATTTCATTCTTTGCTTGCTGTTCTTTGTTATTTTTTATTCCATTTGGTCCTTCAGAGTAGTTTCAGTGTTTTGGAATTTAAATGGCCCAAGACCAATGTTGTGACCAATTGTTGTCTGGTTCCGACTCATTGCAACCCTGGTGAGTTCCAACCGCCGATCTTGGGTTAGCAGTCAACTGCTTATACTATAGGGCCATACCACTCCGTCTTCACACCATTGTGACAAATACGCTTTTAAAAATGACTTTTGTTTTTTGTGGTTAAAAATACCTTCTGTAACAACTGAATTTCAATTAATAGTACATAAAAATATAGCCTAGTGGCTACGGATAGGGCTGCGAACCTTAAGGTCAGCAGTTCGAAACTACCAGCTGTTCCGCGGGAGAAAGATGAGGCTTTCTGCTCCCGTAAAGATTTACAGCCTCGGAAACCCTGTACAGGGTCGCTCTGGGTTGGAACCGACTCCACGGCACATAACAACAACAACAACAACAAAAATATATAAACACAAAAGTGGTCTTAGAAGCAATAGTCTTCATTCATCAAATCATGCTGATTATGAATTCTTTTTGAGATGGAATCTGGAGCACGTTCAAACAAGATCTGGTTGACCTAGCCACAGCCATGGCGTCCTTAGGGAAGAGTTTTAAATGAGTGGTGGTGGTGTGCTGTGGAGTCCGTTCCGATTCATAGCGACCCTGTACAGGGTTTCTGAGGCTGTACATCTTTACGGGAGCAGAAAGTCTCATCTTTCTCCCGCGAAACAGCTGGTAGGTTCGAACTGCTGACCTTAAGGTTAGCAGCCCAATTAGTAACCATTACGCTACCAGAGCTCCTTTTAAATGAGTACATAGTCTTTATTTTTCAACAATGACAATTATAAATAGAATATAAAGTAATTGAAAATTTAATTTTAAAATCCAAAATTGGACATTTAAAGCCATTATGATATAATAATTTGTAATATAATAATTACACGGCCTAGTTTCATGGAAATGAAACTTTTTAGGAAGAGTTTCAGGAGCCCTGACGGCATATTGTGTTAAGTATCAGCTAGTTGCTAACTGAAAAGTTGGTGGTTCAAAACCAACAACTCCTCCTTGGGAGAAAGATGAGGCAGCTTGAGTTTATACAGATTGTAGCCTGGAAACCCCATGGAGCAGTTTTACTTTGTCCTATATGGTTTCTGTGAATTATACTCAACTGAAAGTAGTGGGCTATATTTAGGATAGTTTCAATTGTTCTTGTTAGGTGCCACCAAGTTGGTTCTGATTCACAGTGACCTTAGGTATAACAGAATGAAGTACTGCTCAGTTCTGTGCCATCTTCATAATTGTCAATATGATTGAGTTGCTGTCCATGTGTATATCCATTTCACTGGGAGTGGTCATGTTAGTCTCTGACTTATGATGTGTCAATGCACAACAGAAAGAAAAATCTTCCTTTTTTTTGCTGACGCTTCACATTTCCAAGCATGATGTCCTCCTCCAGGAATAGGTTCCTCCTGACAACATGTCCAAAGTAAGAGAGATGAAATCTCACCATCACGCTTCCAAGAGTGTTCTGGCTGTACTTCTTGCAAGACAGATTTGTTTGTTCTTCTGGCAGTCCATGACACTTTCAATATTCTTTTCTAACACCATAATTCAAATGTATTGATTCTTCTATGGTCTTCCTTATTCACTGTCAAACTTTCACATGCATATGAAAGAATTGAAAAATACCATGTTTTGGGTCAGACGCACCTTAGATCTGAAAGTGACATCTTTGCTCTTAGACACTTTAAATAGATATAGATCTCTCGCAGCAGATTTGCCCAATACAATATGTCAGTTGATTTCTTACCTGCTGCTTCCATGAGTGCTGGTTGCGGATTCAAGCAAAATTAAGTCTTTGACAATTTCAGTCTTTTCTTCATTCTTCATGAAGTTATTTTTAGGTCTGTAGTTGTAAGCATTTTCCTTTTCTTTACACCGAGGCATAATTCATACTGTAGTCTTGGATCTTCATCAATATTTCAAGTTCTGTTGGCTTCCAACAAGCAAGGTTGTTTTCTTCTAATGACTGTCTCTTGGTTTATATACAGCTTCCTCATGAGCATAATTAACTTCTGGAATATCCATTCTCCAAAACGCTATCCATAGTTTGTTAGGATCCACACAATTACAAGTCTTTGCATAATCATTAAAGCACAAACTTTCTTATTTTTGGTATTCTCTGCTCTCAGCCAAGATCCATCTGTCATCAGAAATGACATCCTTAGTTCCACATCCTCTTCTGAATCTGACTTGAATTTCTGGCATCTCCTTGTAGATGTACAACTGCAACCATTTTTGGATTATCTTCAGCAAAATTTTACTTGTATGTGATGATAATGATATTGTTCAATTATTTCCAACTTCCTTTGGGTCACCTTTCTTTGAAACAAGCACAGATAATGGATCTTTTCCAATTGGATGGTCAGTTAGCTGTCTTCCGATTTCCTGGCAGAGACTAGTAAGCACTTCCTGCACTTCATCAGTGTGTTGAAACATTTCATTTTTTTCTCCCTTTAATTCTTGGATCCTTGTTTTATCCTACACCTTCAATGTAGTTTGAA